TAATAGTCGTTGAACGTAGTTGAAGACTATCATATAGATCGTGATGATTTTGTTTTTCGTTTTTTTTTTACTTTTGGTTTTTTTTCCATTTCACTTGTAGTTTCGAAAGCGGAATTTAGTTTTCTGATTTCCCAGTGAAATAAAAAAAATACCTATTGATCAAGTTTTCTCAAATTGAGTTAATTATATCAAAAAAGTGTCAATTATAAATTGTTCTTGAAATTCAAAGATCTTTTAAGTCATACGTTTTTTTACCTTGAAATTGAACATTTTTCAAAAAACGAGTCAATTTGTTTTTGATTTCTTGCGTTTTTAAATTCTTTTCCAACTACCTCTTGGCTCTGTTCATCGAGTGACGGTTCTTCAACCCCCACCCCCCAAGCACAGGTCATTAGCACTTCATAAATCTTTTTAATATCTGGTCGGGTATTGGTGGTTTTGTTGAAATCTTGATTTTTATTCTAAATGAGAAATGGGTCTTGGACGTTTTACAAATGGAGCTTTTTCTCTTTTTAACTTTTAGCGCATCCTAAACATTGATACGTCTGTTTTCTTTCAAACTGTTCGGACCTTTGGCTCTTCTATCGGAGCCCCCCCCCCGCCACACCATTCACTAACATCAATTTTACGGTTTTACCATTGGTTTTCTGAAGTTGTTTTCGAGGTCGAAAATGTGCTTGTAATTAGGCGATTAATCCACATGCTAATTTTCTTGATAATTGGAGAACATATTTCCAAAAATTGCAGTTGGGGATTGGTAGAAGAGTCTGACTTTCTTGTGAGTTTCGGTTCGGCACGATACCATTTTTATTGTGGTTTCAGATGCCATCGCTAAGCACGTGGTGGATATCGGGTCCGAAGCGATACCCAGGACGACTCTGTCGCAACACTTCTTTGGCAAAGGCGGAACTGGAAAGCTAGCATACGACCAGTTTCTCTCTTTCATCCGCAGTTTGCAGACCGAAATTTTAATGGTCGAGTTCACTGAGTTCTCGAAGGTACAAAATTTGGAAATTTTTCTTTATTATAACATTCATTCTTAGTATTCATTCTTAATTGTCGGTGAACGCAAGAATGAAGGCACTAATTGCTTTTGTTTGGTTTTTTGAGGCAATAAGTCTTAAACTTTTATCCCACCCAAATGTGACTTTTGGCGGTTTGACTTCTGAATTTTTGCAGTTCAACTCAGATTCATTTGCTATAAGGAAGACAACTTCCAATCAAGTCATCAGACCATCAGTTAAAACGTCTATTGAATGAATGATTTTGATTAGAATTATGTGCGCTAAAAGTGGTTTTCACTTATAATATAAGGTCTCAATAATTTTTTTTCAGGAAAAAGTCTTACAAGTTGTTCGCGCTCAAATTTGATTTCTCGCGGTTTGATTCATGACTTTTTTAAATTCGTGGACATTTATTTTGACTTTTAATTAATTTTTTTGTATAGACCAAGAAAGAGCAATTGATATTAACCTTTATCTCGGGATTGAAAATGCGAGTTATAGGGAGTAAAAATCTAAGGTTACGTTTATTTTTGTCCATGAGTTTAATTGATAGAATTCAAGTTTCAAATTGTCTCCTGAAAAGTCATGTTTTTCTTCACCAATAGCTAGAAAAAAATATTATCTTTCTGCAGAGCGTGTTAATTAAATTCATTTTGAGCTGCGAGTTAGGCTTAAATTTTTTTAGGGCCTTAGAACCATATCTGAGGACGAGTTCGCCCGTATCTTGTTACGTCACACCCAGGTTCCAGCGGAACAACAGGAAAAGATGATGGAAAACCTACTGAAAGAAGGAAATCCGACCTTCAAGGGAATCACGTTCGAAGAGTTCTGCGAGTTCTTTTACTTCCTAAACAACATCGAAGATTTCGCAGTTGCAGTCGAAATATTCTCGTATGCAGGACAGAATCTGAACAAAGCGGCGTTCCAAAGAGCCTATAAGATCACAACTCACGGCAAAGAAATTCCGAGTACAATTCTAGACACGATGTTTCTCCTGTTTGACGTGAACAATGATGGAGAACTGAGCAAAAAAGAGTTCATAGGTCAAATGAAAGATGCAGTTCAAAGAGGCTTTAGATATCACACAGACGAGTTTATAGGATGGCAGGGCTTCAAAAAGTGTCTGGTTAAGGAAAGAAATGCGACCACGGAGGAATAAATTATCAAACAGAACTCAAGTAGTTAATGTGTTGTATAGTTAATGCCTAATCGTTGGCAATATCTGTGACTTCTACTTGGTCAAAAAACGGTTGCGTTAGGTTGACTAATTTAGGTTGATGGTTTCAACAAGCTCAATCGAATAAAAATTGATTTCAGACTTCGAAATCAGCAGTTTTAGATTAAATGAACTTCGTTCAGATTCGTTGACCGAAAAGGATATTGCCAACTATTTGTCATTAACTATACATCTTGTGCATTAGTTAAGGAAATTGTACGAGCAAAAATATTCGCAGCTATTTCTGTTCACTGTCAATAATTGGTTCGTTTCCCCCTCTCCCATATTTGAATTTCAATTGAAAAAAAAAAAACTATTTTAACGTTGAAATTAAGTTTTGAAATTTTTGTAGAATAAAAAATTAACTATTCTGACAACATTTTTACTTGATACTTCATTAAGAAAAGTCGCCCATTTAGCCTTAATAACTAGCTATAATAACAATTGGAAGTATTATGAAAATGGAAAATTTGCAATGTGGCAGGGGGGTTGGTATTGAGTGGGAAAGGGTCCAATAGTTTTATCTGTTTGATCTAGGATCAGGGGCGGATTTAAGGGGGGGGGGACTAGTATGGTTAATGAATGACGCAGAACCGAGTGGTAAGTCATCCATTGTATGTCTTACAGTCTTACACTACTAGTGATTTTGCTCGAAAGGAAAGGTTGTTTTGATTTGCATCTGAAAACAAAAACTGAAGAAAAACTGCTATCAATTACTGCGATTGTATCCTAATCGAAACCAAATTTTACGAAGACGATATAAATGTAATTTTAAAAAATAAATTCTGAAAGTCAAGTTTTTGCAGACCGATTGTCCTGTTGGATGGATGATGACTTAAACATAGTCATATCCGAAAACTTATCAAGACCTTCAGCACGGATTCTTTCTTGGACGCTGCCATCAGCCAGTGTTGCTTTAATCGGGTACTTTTGTTTCTGTAAGCTTTCCAGTAAGTTTTTTCCTGTAAACAACAAGTAAACATAATTAATAATTAAATAGCTCTTACTGTTTACGAAGAGCAACTTCATAAATTCAATTTTTAGGGCGTTTACCAAATTAAATAGATGTCAAAATTGCCACTTATTTAGTGGAGTGTCCAGGTTTTACTAACTGGGTTTAAAATTTCTTCGATGACATTCCGAACAATTTTTCAAAGGTGCCTCTAGAGTCCTGTTTTTGTTATTTTGACGAGGAGAGTCAGATTTCCCGGGGAATAGAAACAGGACTAATTGATCGAGTTTTGGGTTGATTTAATCGAAAAAGTAGCAGTCATTAATTGTTCCTGAAATTCAAAGAGCTTTAAAGCCATATACTTTTTTTCTTAAGTTTTCCTAAAAAACAGTCGTTATTTTTGTCATTACTCTGTTTCAACTGCCTTGGCTATGTTTTCGGCGCTCTTTTTTCATTTTTAGCAGATTTTCATTTGCTTGTTTTTCTTTTTGTCAGATTTATTATTTTGTATGTGACAGATACTCGGCTTCGCATGTTTGCATATTGGATATATACGATGTGCTAAACCGTGAAACAAATGGTGGACTAGGGGGTTCCCATTTCGGCATCCCAAAAGTTTGTTTTTCGAAAAACATTACTGTTTCCAAATCATTTGTATTTGCCTTTTTCGATTATTTGCTATTTCAGTTTTATTTCTATTCTTGTTAATTGTAGCCCTCACTTTTTGCAGAAAATTTTAACAGAACGCGTTTTCCTAACTGTCGACACAGTTGCCTTTATACTTTTTTATGACTCCCTGGAACATTTTCATGGTTGGATCACTATTTGCCCTATTAAGAGCAACAACCAGTTAGAGAATCATCATCAGATATCAACGTCAATTTCCAAGTTATCATTTTTCCAACGTATCATTTTTTTCATCATTTAGAGGCTTTAGTTTTTCGTGCTCATCTTGTTTTGATTTTTTTCATCGTTTATAAAAAGTTATCACTCTCGTCTGAAAAATTTAAAAAACGAGTCACATATAAGACAAAATTGTGGGGGCGGCTTTCCTCATTAAAAAAATTCGCGGACCAAATTGACTTCCTCCCCCGTAAAGCGATTTAGGGGGGAGGATGTTAACTTGATTCAAAGCTGGATTTTTCAGCCAATCAGAATTTAGCATTTAACACGCAGCGTTGAGCCAATTTATTCTAAATTAAATGTCTGGGATGAAGATCTTAAGTTGGTCTAGTTAGGGGGGAGGATGTTAACTTGAGCCCAATTTGAGTTCTTCTTACTAAAGTTATAGTTTAATTTCCATTTCTATATGGTACCTAGTAAACAATTATAACTAAAACTGTAAAGAACTAATTTAACGGTTAAATATATGTGAATTGTGAACCTTGTAACGAATCCCCCCTTTTGCAATTGGGGGAGGTAGTTAACAAGATCCAGGAAAAGGGCTGTCAACTCCAAACACTCACATGGTATAGCAAAGGTTTCCTTCCCGATTTATACATATGTATGAGCTAAGCTTTCAAGTTACTATTATCGAAATGCACTGAACTCTTGAAGAGTGTAGGAAATTTGAACAGAGGTCGGTAATATAAACAATCTTATAAATTACTATGCTTTGTCTACTGACGAAACCGCAGCTGATTCAAATGCGTGCATTTATGTGACGAAATCTCGTTACTCCATCTGGTTTTTTAAAAATGATTCTAAAAATATTTTCTTTCAATATCGAAATTAATTTTTTCGGCCAGTTTAAATATTATTGTTTTGCAAAATCTTCCGGACGTTTGTTCACGTGGTGTTGTGATCACGTGATTGTATTCGTGGGGGGATGTTAGGAGCTCGGAGTCTTCTCCAGAGCAACACACGACTGAAAGCTTCTACAACTTATCTGAATATTGAGCCGGAGAGAGGCGAAAGTTCAAGTGCGAGCAGACCTCGTATCAACAGAAAGTACTTCGCCTATAGAAAAAACGGTAGGTGCTCAGAAATATTTATCTAAAGTATATTTTTTGACCAAAATTTGAAGAAAAAAAATTATTACAAGAAAATCGAGAGTATATATCTTCCCAGACTTTAAAACATGATAGAAAGTCTCTTAATCGATAATCGAAAGATTATTTTTGAGCGTGCGTCTTAATTTATAGGAACGTCTTTCACACAAAATTTTGAGGCCCTGAGATGAGAGGTTTTATTATAAATTATCTACAAAACCGAAGCACTGTTAGATTTTGGTGCGGTAGATATCGGTTTTATCGTCCCTCTTGGATTATTCTGGGGAAACTTGATGAATCATCGTCAGCAGTTAACTGAGATCTAATTAATGCTCCAATAATTTTTTAAAAGTCGTGTTTACTCTTATGTAGGTCTTGGTCACATTTTTTTGTTTTTTTTTTCAGGAAGAAGTCTTGAAGTTTGTTCAAGCTCAAATTTGATTTTTGGTGATTTGACTTTTGATTTCTCTTTAAGTTCAGTTCATTTCCTTTGTCATAATGAAGGCAAACTCGGCTCTTTTTCCTCCTCCCCCCCCCAACCTGCAAATTTTTAAATTTGAAGTTACTGTTCACTTTGTCCGATTGTCATGAAAATTTATGTGCAGACTAATTAGGCCATGATAAATTAGGCCATATTTGGTCTTCATAAATAACATTGTAAAACCGCTCGTTACACCATAAAATTCATGTTTGAGTGAGGTGGGGGGGGGGGAGGAAAAAGAGCCGCAAACTCCACTATCGAACAGCAAAAATGTAAAGAAGGTTGCGAAAAACGTGATCAGCTTCTAGTTTCAAAAGTGGAATTTAATTATCAAATTTCTCATCGAAACAAAAGTTTTACCTATTAATCCAGTTTTCTCAAATCAAAAAAGGCCTGTCACAAATTGTTCTAGAAATTCGAAGAGCTTCAAGGGCATCTTTTTTTTTCTTTGAAGTTTGAAAGTTTTCTTTTTGCCCCTTATTTTTTCTGTTTACTTGCGTTCATTGACTCTTTTACAACTCTCTGTTGACTATGTTTTTTCTGTTCAGATCATGCTCCATGGTGGAAAACAACTATGGCGTTTTGTGTTTTCTATCCCACAAAAAAGTTTTTTTTTTTTTTAAAAAAAAACATTATTTTTAGGTTTTTTGCTTCGTCTATCATCTGCACGTAACTATTATGCGTGCATTCGGAAACTTTCAAAAAAAATTTGCAGTCGGAACGATCTGTGCCACCTGTACAGAAGCTGGCTTTCCTTATTGTTCCGACCATTTGCCAAATTAGGAGGAACTTTGTAGTCGGTGTGTTTTAGTTTTTTTTACTTTTTTGTTTTTCATACAAAATCAGGTACAACAAATAATCATAGAAGAGAGTTGAGTAATATATCATGTTAAAGCACTTTCATTCTTGATTCGAACGACATTAAATTTTGAAAAACTTTCCCAGTGTTGAGAAAGACCGGTTTAAAGTTTTTGTTTTGTCTAAATTTGAGCAAGTAAAGCGAGCGAGCACGCTTGTTCGTGCTTAATTTACGCCGTTTACAGTAGCTTAATTATGCTTAGTTTTCATTTTAGTCGAGTAAAATTGTTCGTTGGAAATTTTCAATGCCAGTTTGGGAATCAAGAATTCAAAACATTTCTGCACAAAAATTGAAACAGAAAATGGGATTTTGTTATATTTTTTTTGTTTTTTTTTATTGTCCTGTTTGCCTATTTTATGATGACTGTCGAATATTTCGGAATTATTGTTTCACGCCAGATTTTTTTTTCACACCACGCAGAAAAAAAAACTACACTTATTTGAAAAAAAAAATCGTATACTTTTGAAAACTATGGTCGGAACATTCTGTGCTTCTTGCGCAGTAACCGGCTATTCTTGTTTCTTTTGCTATTTGAGAAAAATTGATTGCTGAATTGAAGTTTTAAGACGCGCAGATCAAAATTTTCATGGACAATAATGCTTTCAAAAACTGATCAAACGGATGAATTTTGGTGCGAATGATATTGGAGAGACTTGTCAATCTGACATTTTTTGAAGGATTGGAAAATATCTAAACTGACCGGGAAAATTTGATGTGGTAAGCCGGTTTGTTTCGTGTTCCAAACTAATTAGAATGCAGAAATTTGAATTTATCAGAAAACAAAAAAGAACGAATCTCACGCATTGTGTCGCGATATTTAAAAAATGACCAAGTTAAAAGTCTGCTTTCTAAAACATTTTACGGGGGTCGGTCGGTCTACCGAAATGAAGTATATTTTGTGCAGGCTAAAAGTTTTTGATGCAAATAATTAAATAGTGGTTTGGAGGAGGATATTTTATCTGTGTCTATTCAGTATGGAGGGGGGGGGGGTGCAGGGTGCAGCAGGTGGGGTGAGGTGTTATGTTGATCCAAAGAGAAAAATTCATTCGAATACATTTTAAATTTAGGGGTGGAGATTTTATAGTAGCTATGATGGTGGGGGGTTTAGTCAAGCATGTGGATAATTTTTTCCCTTTAGATGCAAAATGTCCTAAGAAGTATGCGAGCAGTGAGTGCCTATCATCAACCCCCAGCAGACAAACAACAACCCAAGAGGAGGATGATTGCAACCAATCGGCGTCATCCTCGGAAACAGACAGCGAGCTCGCCTACAACAGCGAGAACGAAAACTGGCTGCGAAATGAGAATGACAAGTTTCTATTCGATAGAAATATCAACCTATCAAAAACCCCAACCAATCAGAACACAGGATTTGAGCAGACTAATGCACCGAATATGTACTCAGCGAGAACGAAAAATTTGGTCAAAACGGAGAAAACAAATTTGGGTGGAGTTTTTTCGAAAAAGTTCTGGAAGAGTTCGGAAAGACCGGAGAGTAATCAGAGTTTTCTCACACAAACAAACACTTTCGAAACAGTTTGCTCCAGGTATGATATCACAAGAAAACACTTATTTTGTCTCCCAAAATGTTATTCTTTACCCCTGCGATAAGCAAGGGTCATTGCAATCGGGTATTAGACTTTTCTCCCGTAAATAACTTAGTTAACATAATAGTCTAAATTAGAAGTGGTAAACTTAGGTTCAGTTCATATTGAATTCAAGCTTCTTCGCGTCTTCGGCACTCTTGACCTGGAGGTAACGAATACGCCTGGGACGACAATAGTCCTGGGTTCGAAACTGACAGGACCTGTAGTTTATTTTTTCAAACGTGAAAGCTTTCGTTTCAAAAACACATGGCGGCTTATTGTTCCGACCATTGAAAATGGGGAGGAACTTTGTATTCGGGTCTGTTTTAGCCTTTTCTTTTTGTCTTTCTCGCAAAATCAGGTGCTACAAATAATGATTGGGCTGGGTTGAATGATATTTCATATTAAAACCCCTTACAGTCGTGATTCGAACCACATAAAAAATTCAAGACTTTTTCACAGTGTCGAGAAAAACCGGTTTGAACTTTTTGAATTTTCGGCCTATTTCGAGCGAGCAGTCTTATTTTAATTGCTTAAAAGCTTGCAATAGCTTAATTTAAATCGTATAAATCTAGTTTTATTTGCGTAGCGTTAGTTTACTATGAGTATTTCAGCGCCTTTTTGGTATCAAAATTTTTCAAAATTTCAAAAAACTGCAAAAAACTTGAAAAACTTTTCGAATTTTTTTTGATTTTTTTTTCGTTTTTCTAGTAATTTTCTACAAAAATGGTTTTTCAACTTGCTTGTTTTACCTAGCTATTACTTGTAGTTATTATTATATCTTTTCCCCAGTTTTTTGTTCAGCTCCTTTTATCACACCACGCCGAAAAAAAAACGACAAAATTTTATAGAAATAATAGCTCAAGTTTTTCATGGCAGCATTTTTTTCTTTGTTTTTCTCGGCTTGATGGGTTTCGTGCCAAAATTATACCCGCTTATTGGCTTCATATTGCGTCGTTCGACGAGTGAAAATTTTTTTAGGGGGCGGGTGTGTCGCTCCAAGACGAGAACGTTCTGTGCTACTTGCACAGCAATCCGATAGTTTTTTGTCTGCTTTTTAATTGATGTCTATGTGATTATACTTTTTGTTCTAGAAGACCGGAAGGAAGATTATTCAATGCACATTTGCTGCAATTTAATTCTCAGAACCCTAAAAGCAAGAAGATAGCGAGATTAAAACCATTGTTGGACTCAAATGATCACTCGAACAACCCAAATTCAGTTTCTCAAATCAACTCCTCACGCATTATGCACAACAGCGAGAATAGATCTGCTAATAGAGCAGAAGATCTAGGGCTGAGTACCTTAGAAATCTGTCAAAGTAGTCCCGACAATGTCCTTAGCTTCCCTACAACTTCAATTGAGATACCGCAAACTATCGAAGTTCCCGCATACTGCCTTAGCCCAAATTCTGCAACTGACGACTCACACAAACTGAGACAATTGAGGTCAGATAGCCGACAGTTCACCTGGACGACAAGTAGTAGCACGACAACAGCTGTTTCGACTAGAAGTGGGACTAAATGTCGGTTAAAAAGACAGCCAATGATTAAACTGACTAAAAAAGACGTGGAGCATATCAGAGTTTCTTGGAATTAAAAGAAACTCCAAGAGTCAATTTTCATTTAAAAGCTGATCAAATTCTTATACTTTTCAATGTGTTGTTTTTATATTTTACTTATTTATTAATGTGATTTTCCAATATTTTTAATTTTGAAAGTTTCTTTTTCAAGTAGAAGCTCTTGATAGGTTGATTGTGATTGGCATTGCATATAATTATAGATCACCCAGAAAATTTGCGCGCATTTTGTGCCAATTTAAAACAGTGTGTTGTCGAATGATTGGGGAGGCTGCAATTCAGCAAGAAAAATTAATATCAAATAGTAAAGGTCTTCAATTCACAATTAGGATTTGAGAATGAAATTAAGACATATTATTAGCATTGTGAAAATGTAAAAAGGTCAATTTTCTAAATAGAAGTAAGCCTAGTAAAACTTTTCTCTTAATCGGCTTGAAAAAAAAATAAAGTTTTTTTTTCATTTTTACACTTGCCATATGCAAGGGTGTTGCAATCGGGTACTAGACTTTTTCCCCGTAAACAACTTTGCTCACATGGTGACTGAAGTTTTTTCATCTCAATTTATGTTCATGTCTACATTTTAAACGCTGGTTTTGTTAAAAGTAATGATCGTAGTGAGTACTCTTATATAGGTCTTGTTGATTTTTTTTTTTTTTTTTTCAGGAAAGTGCAAGCTCAATTTTGATTTGTTTTCTTTTTCAGGAAAAAGTGCAAGCTCAATTTTGATTTTTTTTTTCAGTTCTTCAGTTCACTTCATTTCTTTTGTTAAAAGGAAGGCAAACTCAACTATCGAACAGGAAAAACGTAAAGGTCCCGAAAAACGTGATCGACTTCTAATTTCGAAAATGGAAATAAATTATCTGATTTCCAAGAAAAAATTTTACTTATTCATCTAGTTTTTCAAATTGGGTTAATTTTATCACAAAAGTTTCAATCATAAATTGTTCCACAAATTTAAAAAGCTTCAAGGCCATCTATTTTTCGCTTAAAAAAAGTCAGTTTTTTTTTTCAGTTTCCTTGCGTTCATTACTCTTTTCCAACTGTCAGTTGACTATGTTTTAACCTTGCGATCAGCGAGGGTGTTTACGAAGTTTTCATTTTATGTTGTGTAGAAATTAAGCGACTCCGATTTCAGTTTACAATATTTTGTTCTTATTTTTTATTCGGCATGAAAGGTTTCGACTTATAATATATCGGCTTTGAGGCCTCATTTTGAGTCAATTGAGAAGCAAAAATATTTTGTCCAAATTTTTTGAGAAGGGATTAAAAACTTGTTTTTGTGTTTCTAAAATTCTCATAAAAACAATTTTTTCGGCGCAACGTGTGTCTGCTCAAGAATTGTCGGCTTTGTTACCGCTTTATAAGTTTTGTTTCGATACTTATTTAACATTCAATTGCCTTAACTGTTGGCATATTTCTTTGAAAAGAATTTTTCTTCAAGACCAAATCAAGACAGATAGAGGAAAAATTTTGGTAGACGAAATTTGTTTAAAATTTTTAAGTTTTTCTCTACGGCTTTCATCTTTGTTTCTTTTGGTTAGTTTGTCATCCTATGTATGTGTTGTACCGCAATGACTGTGAAGTTTTGCTTCGCTTCTGTTTATAAAGTTTCTAAAGTTGCAAGTAATTCAGTTCCGATCTTTCGTTTTTTTGTGCAATTTTTATATATTTTTTGAGAAACAATTTTTTGAATTTTTTCCGATTTGTCGGCTCAGTTGCAAGTAGTAATAGTCATTCAATTTTGTATTGCAAGTGATGCGAAACTCTGCTTCGCCTCTGAGTAATAGCATGAAATTTTAGCATTTCATACCAGAGCTACAATAACCATAGATAACGTGACAATAGCTCAAAGATTTTACGTGGTCATGATCTTCAGATTATTTTTGATGTAAATGTATGGCTTTGATGCTTGCTCAATTATTCATCATCTTATTCTTAGTTTTTTTTTCAAATTGTTTCGATAATTTAATCAGACTTGAGAATGAAACAATTCAATCAATTCAGCCACTTTTCATCAAGTGAAGTTATTTTTTAAGTGCCATTTTGGGAGTCAAAACTTTGAAAACTCAAAAATTTTCTGCAAAAAAAAAACAAAAAATTTTTGTTTGTTTTAATTTTTTTTCTTTTTTTCCTTTCGCAAAATCACAAAATAGCAAAATCAGCTACCACAAATAATCATTAGAGAGAGTTGAGTTTGCCTGTTTGCTATTATCAAATTAAATCCCTTATAGTCGTAATTTGAACGGCAGAAAAAGTTTTAATTAAATTATCCAGTGCTTATCTTAATGGTTTAAAAGCCGACAATAGCTTAACTTGAAACTTCAAAACTTAGATATACAGTTTTACTCGAGTAATGTTTTTTATGAGCATAGCCCCTTTTTGGAATCATAAACTTCAAAAGTTCAAAACACTGCAAAAAAATGAAGTTTTTGTAATTTGTTTTTTGATATTTTTTTCGTTCTTCTTGTCAAATTTCTGCAAAAACTGTTGTACAGTTTGCCTATTTTATTATGACTCGAATATGCCTAAGTTGTTCAATCCTTTTGTTCAATCCTTTCATCGTACCTCACAGAAAAAACGTCACTAATATGAAAGAAAAACTGCTGTTTTAAGACTATGGTCGGAACAATCTGTGCTTCTTACACATTAACCGGTTATCCTTGTTGTCCCGACCCAACAAAAATTGTGGAGGAAATTTGTATTCGGCTGTGTTTTATTTTATTTATATTTTTCAAGCAAAATAAGGTATCACAAATAATCATCTGAATAATCATCTGAATATCATATTAAAACCCTTTCAGACCTGATTCGAACGATATTAAAATTTTTCGATGCTTAATTTTTTTGCTTAATTTCGAGCTTGAAAAGCGAGCGAGCATGGCTATTGATGCTTAAATTCGGCCGTTTACAATAGCTTATTTATGATAATTTTAGTTTTACTCGAGTATAATTAGTTTTTGGAGTTTCATTAACGTCATTTTGAGAATTAAAAACTCCGAAAACTCAAAAAAATTTCTGCAACAAACGCTGAAAAAAGGTTTTTCAAAACTTTGTTTTAAAATGATTTCGTTAGTTTTTTTAGTCTTTTTTTCTTCAAAACTCAATTTTGCCTGCTAACTATGACTGTAGAATTTGTTTCAAGTTTTTTGTTTATTTTTCAGTCAAAACCTTCCAAAAAATCCCAGAAAGCAACATTTAAGCCTGATGTTTTATGAAATTGCTTGTTGCGCAGAAAATTTAAATTTTGCAAAATAGTGTTTTCTTAGTGTTTTAGGGGAGCTCGAAAATCTAATAATTTGTTGACCAAAAAAGTAAACAAAATTTTTGAAACATTCTCAACGAAACATTCTCGAAGCATACTCATGTTTGATTAATGTCATTTTGAGAACTAAAAACTTCGAAAATTCCTAAACTTCAGCAAAAAAAAATTTTTAAAAATTGATTTTTTAAAACTTTTTTATAAAGTTTTCTTTAGTTTTTCTAGACATTTTTCTACAAAACGGTTATCTATTTTGCCTGTTAACTAAGATTGACAAATATACCTTATTTTTTGTTTTTTGTTCTTTCTTTTCATCAATCCACACAGAAAAAAGACATTAATCCGAAAGAAAAAAACTATCTTGTTTTTTTAAGGAATATGATCGGATCATATTTTGATACTTGCACCGTAACCGGCTATGCTTGTTTCGTTTGTACATTACTCTAAATTTCTAAGAAAATAAACTGATATTTACCTCTGAGGTGACATTTTTGTCACACCATATTCGGCAATTAAAATAATGGTTTTTGGAGCATCCCAAATTTACAGCATATTGAACAAGAAAACGTCCTGAGTTTACCATTGAGAGAAAAATGTTTGCGAAAATTTACGTGAAGCCATGAGTGTTTGAAATGGTCTATTTAGTTTGTGGCTTCCCACTTAGCCAGGGAAATTACGAGAATCGCAAAGTAAGCAACTAAATCCAGGCCATTAGTGTTAATATTGCCCAATTAGATAAAAAGCAGATGAATGAAAAAATGCCGGATCGAAGGCAGATTGGAAAAAATTTTAAATTTTAAGAATACCGATTTACGAAAAATGGAAATACGAAAAACTTTTTATATTTGCACGTATTTGGTTGTGGTTGTTCAAAACATTTACTACATTGCACGAGGCTAATTTTATCAATTTGTATTTCAGTTAGCAAATGGTGGAAATGTTTTCAAAAACATAATCTGGAAAAAAAATATTTCTTCTTTTGGAATTTTGTCAATTTTAATTTATTTTTAAAGATGATTTGTTCTTAAGAGGGCTGTCGAAACATTCATGGGTTTGCTCTGACATAGAAATTATGTCTGATATAAATTCCAAAATTTACGGCTCCCAAACTGCCTTTTTTGGCAGCATCGGTTTTTCTTGTATTTTTAATGTCAGAATTTTAGTTTTTTTCTGGCTTTAAAAGAATTTTAGAATTTCAATCAGAAATTTAATTATTATATTTTGTTAAATTTTTAAGAGAATAAAATCCAAAATTTCTTTAAGGCAAATTTAAGCTTTAATGCAAATTTAGTCAGTGTAGATACAGCCGAGCAATCATTTTCCCTGATGAAGCATCTCAATATATGTTTAAGATCAATCATGCAGAAATATCGTTGGTCATTCTTGGCTTTTTTGTGTACCTATTAAAATGAAATCATTGACGTGAAGCCATCAAAAGATGTAGCTTCAAAATTTGACCTTTAGAAATTTCTAAACTTTATAAAGTTGCACCTTTTTTGACGCACAACTTCAACTTCGATCAAATTACTTCACAAAATTTTACGCACGACCCTAGTTTCATCATAAACGTATCCGTTTAAAACGCTGCTTTTATTGTAAAATGTTTGTTTTGTTTTTGAGGTGACCATAAAAAAGAAAAAAGACCCGTTAATTGAATATAAAGAAGTAACTGGTCTCAAATTATGATACTACCATTCGTTAAAAAACCGTTTGAATACTGAAATCAGTTTTTTAATGTTTTTTTTTGAGTTTGTGATGCTCTTGTACGAAAAAAATTAAGAACAAAAATAGAATGTACTTATGATTGGCAAAAGTTACGAGAAAAAAAGAAGTATAACTAATTTCATTTTCATTTGACTGAATAAAGCTGAAAAATTCAAAGAACATGTTATGAAAAACTTTGAGAAGATGCGACATTACAAAATAAAACACCAGAGAATATTTTATATTTTTGCTTTCAGCAATAATATAAAATGAAAGGTTTTCGTAGCAATTTTTTTTAACGGAGCGGTTAAATGAAAAAATTTTCCGAAGCCCCTAAAACTCCTCTAAAACGCTAAACTGACTCTATTTTGCCACAAAATTCTGTGCCATTGGACAAATTAGACTAAAAACGTTGTTTTTGGGAAGGTCTTAGCCAGAAAATCACGTTTTTTTGGCGGGCTCTCTCTCTCTCAAATTTAACGTATACTAGCGTTGTCGGAAAGCGTCTTAGAATTTTTTGTAAGTTGAACAGTCAGAAATTGCTGTTGTGAAATTGTACCAACAAGGCAAGAAAACTCAGCAACTGGAATTAAAGGTGAAAGCGCACGCCAAAAAAAACACACCACCTGCCCCTTCCCCTCCCCCTACCCCCCTGGCTCACTACTTTTTATTAAGCATATAATTCTTTTAACTCAAGTATTCCCATCTTATCGTCCTCTGTAACAAACACCAATTTGTCTCTTTTTGCAGTTCGAATTAGAGCCATGATTTTGAAATCGAGACGCTCCTCTTGGACCAAATCAATAGAGGGGTTCAAAATATCAAGTTTGTTGAAATCCAGCTCATATATCATGATTCAATTTAATTTCCGCAACTGGACCGCAACCAGGTATATTTTGGACCCAATATCGATTCCCATGATACAATGAATTGCTCCGATATTTGCCAGATTAAAGTGATATTGTTTGAAATTGTCCGGTACTTTTCCATTTTCCATCCATTTAACTGCGACCAAGTCGTTATCATGCTCATTTGCGTGGAACAAGTAGTCTCCATGATAAAATGTTCTGAACGATTTGATTCTCAGAGGAATCTGGACGTGTTCCTTCTTAATGACTTTATCGTTCTGAATAATGGTGTAATATATCACGTTCTGGTCTTTGCATTCCATTGCAATCAGCATGTCAGGTGTACCAATTAGCAAAGAGCATTGAATCTCCTCACACGCGCCGTGTTCTTCTAACTCTCCTTGATTCTTCAGGGTAGAAATATCCAACTGTTGAATTTCGCCGATTCCGTTTTCGTTCAAAGATGCTGCAAAAAAATGCCCATTGCTGATAGCAATTTTCCGGGGGTCTTCTTTGTTTGGCCAGTACTTGCTGTCGACGCGCTCGATTTTGTTTCCATTTATTTGAAACACAGATAGCAGCTGTTTTTTGGTCGAGCCTTGCTCCCCGAATAGAACTCTTAAGTTGTTGTCCTCGTATGATATAGCATACGACAGATATTTTGTTTCCTTTTTTGATTCGCCGTTCGCGACCCGATCAATTAGAGGACCTAGTGATACTTGCAGTGGTTTCTTCTCATAGGAAGGTAACTTCCGGGACAAGTTTAAATATTGGTGTTTTTTTTACAGCCATTACGAGCTTGAAAAAGAAAATAGTGTGTCAACAAACTTTTTTAGTAAGTAAACTTCTTTTTATTCAGACATTTACTAACAAGCTTGTACAGTTTTTTTATATAAAAAGCTTATTTGTTTGGAGGGACGGGTCAGTATAATAAAATGGTTTTTTTTCCGATTTTTGATACGAAAGTAACGGAATATTTGTGCTCGGGGTGGGTTTTTTTTCTTCAGATAAATTTTGACTTTTTGACTAACCTCCTTTGACGGAATGTTTTTATATTATTCGAAAGGTTTTGTTGTCTTGAACTTTAACTTGAATTGATATTTTACATGTGATCGTTTTTCGTAAAGTTATGGGGGTTTAAAGATTGCCATTTTGGTCAATTTGGGACAATTTACGCGTAAGCGGAGAATTAATCCGTCTCAGAAATCGTTGCAAATTGGTTGAAGGAAGATTATTTGCCATAACTGATTCGTTAATAGGAGCATAACTTATCAATTTTTACTTTATATGGCGTGTGGGGGGATAATTTCCGCAAAAATCTCAAATTAAAAACATAATAATGTTTTTTATTACTTTTATTTTTTCACGTTATTACTGCTCCATAGACTTTCCAAAGCATTTGGAAAATTCAGGGCCTGGTATTGATACGAGCAGTCTTGTTGCCATTTCAGTTACAACTGTTCAGATTAGATTTTTTGTTTTAAGTTTTTGAATTCGTTTGAAACATTTATTCATTTGCTAATAAAGTGCTGATTTAAAATAACCGGACAAAACGAGCTAAACTTCAAATTTGAAACGCGTTTTTCTCAAATTGGGTTGAGTTCAGGTGGAAACTTATGAAAACAAAACTTGCTTAAAACCTTAGCTGAATTAGTATGGTGTATTTTTTTTTCGAAATTCAGGCCAAAATTTTACCCCAAAAATGGGTCATTTTGGCTTTTCTTAGTTGGTCAAAAATTACGCCATAAAATACCCAATCGATCACAGATATATTTATATTAAAGTGAGCTCCTTACGTAGCCCAACAAACTTTAAGAAGTGTATATTCTCCAAAAAAATTGCAAATCGTTTAAAAATTGTTTTTAAAAAATAGTTGGTATTTTTTATAGTAAAAACGACCTTTTCTGCCTATCAAACCAAAATAAATTAACTTATACAAGGTTTTGGAGAATACACCCTCCTTAAAGTTTGTTGGGCTACGTAAGGGGCTCACTTTGATATAATTATGTCTGTGATCGACTGGGTACTTTTGGCGTAAATTCTGAATAACTAAGAAACGCCAAAATGAAAATGACTCATTTTTGGGGTATAATTTTGGGCCCGAATTTTGCAAAACAAATTACAACATACTAATTCTGCTAAAATTTTAAGCAAGTTTTGTCTTCATAAGTTTTCACCTAAACTCAACCCAATTTGAGAAAAACGGGTTTTAAATTTCAAGTTTAACGCGTTTTGTCCGGTTAATTTAAATCAGCACTGTACTATGTTGGTCTTTTCTCTAATCCTATGTTTGAGATATGTCCTTGTCCCCCAATACTTTAAAACGCCATTGACTGATGAATTTTGATAGGGTCGATAATCAATAGATTATTATATTTTGTTAAATTTTTAAGAGAATAAATTCCATAATTTACGGCTCCCAAACTGCCTTTTTTGGCAGCATCGGTTTTTCTTGTATTTTTAATGTCAGAATTTTAGTTTTTTTTCTGGCTTTAAAAGAATTTTAGAATTTCAATCAGAAATTTAATTATTATATTTTGTTAAATTTTTAAGAGAATAAAATCCAAAATCTCTTTAATGCAAATTTAAGCTTTAATGCAAATTTAGTCAGTGTAGATACAGCCGAGCAATCATTTTCCCTGATGAAGCATCTCAATATATGTTTAAGATCAATCATGCAGAAATATCGTTGGTCATTCTTGGCTTTTTTGTGTACCTATTAAAATGAAATCATTGACGTGAAGCCATCAAAAGATGTAGCTTCAAAATTTGACGTTTAGAATTTTCTAAACTTTATAAAGTTGCACCTTTTTTGACGCACAACTTCAACTTCGATCAAATTACTTCACAAAATTTTACGCACGACCCTAGTTTCATCATAAACGTATCCGTTTAAAACGCTGCTTTTATTATAAAATGTTTGTTTTGTTTTTGAGGTGACCATAAAAAAGAAAAAAGACCCGTTAATTGAATATAAAGAAGTAAATGGTCTCAAATTATGATACTACCATTCGTTAAAAAACCGTTTGAATACTGAAATCAGTTTTTTAATGTTTTTTTTTGAGTTTGTGGTGCTCTTGTACGAAAAAAATTAAGAACAAAAATAGAATGTAGTTATGATTGGCAAAAGTTACGAGAAAAAAAGAAGTATAACTAATTTCATTTACATTTGACTGAATAAAGCTGAAAAATTCAAAGAACATGATATGAAAAACTTTGAGAAGATGCGACATTACAAAATAAAACACCAGAGAATATTTGAATATTTTATATTTTTGCTTTCAGCAATAATATAACATGGCAGGTTTTCGTAGCAATTTTTTTTAACGGAGCGGTTAAATGAAAAAATTTTCCGAAGCCCCTAAAACTCCTCTAAAACGCTAAACTGACTCTATTTTGCCACAAAATTCTGTGCCATTGGACAAATTAGACTAAAAACGTTGTTTTTGGGAAGGTCTTAACCAGAAAATCACGTTTTTTGGCGGGCTCTCCCTCTCAAATTTAACGTATACTAGCGTTGTCGGAAAGCGCCTTAGAAGTTTTTCTAAGTTGAACAGTCAGAAATTGCTGTTGTGAAATTGTACCAACAAGGCAAGAAAACTCAGCAACTGGAATTAAAGGTGAAAGCGCACGCCAAAAAATACACACCACCTGCCCCTCCCCCCCCCCCCCCCCCCCCCCTCCCCCCGGCTCACTACTTTTTATTAAGCATATAATTCTTTTAACTCAAGTATTCCCATCTTATCGTCTTCTGTCACAAACACCAATTTGTCTCTTTTTGCAGTTCGAATTAGAGCCATGATTTTGAAATCGAGACGCTCCTCTTGGACCAAATCAATAGCGGGGTTCAAAATATCAGGTCTGTTGAAATCCAGCTCATATATCATGATTCGATTTAGCTTCCGCAACTGGACCGCAACCAGGTATATTTTGGACCCAATATCGATTCCCATGATACAATGAATTGCTCCGATATTTGCCAGATTAAAGTGATATTGTTTGAACTTGTCCAGTACTTTTCCATTTTCCATCCATTTAACTGCGACCAAGTCGTTATCATGCTCATTTGCATGGAACAAGTAATCTCCGTGATAAAATGTTCTGAACGATTTGATTCTCAGAGGAATCTGGACGTGTTCCTTCTTAATGACTTTATCGTTCTGAATAATGGTGTAATATATCACGTTCTGGTCTTTGCATTCCATTGCAATCAGCATGTCAGGTGTACCAATTAGCAGAAAGCATTGAATCTCCTCGCACGCGCCGTGTTCTTCTAACTCTCCTTGATTCTTCAGGGTAGAAATATCCAACTGTTGTATTTCGCCGATTCCGTTTTCGTTCAAAGATGCTGCAAAAAGATGCCCATTGCTGATAGCAATTTTCCGGGGGTCATTTTGTTTGGCCAGTACTTGCTGTCGACGCGCTCGATTTTGTTTCCATTTATTTGAAACACAGATACCAGCTGTTTTTTGGTCGAGCCTTGCTCCCCGAATAGAACTCTTAATTTGTTGTCCTCGTATGATATAGCATACGACAGATATTTTGTTTCCTTTTTTGATTCGCCGTTCGCGACCCGATCAATTAGAGGACCCAGTGATACTTGCAGTGGTTTCTTCTCGTGCAAATCCGGCTCACTGCCAACAAGCTCCATGCGTAAACTCTGTTCTCTGGAACTCGCCCAGCTTGCTGTTCATCTTAACCAGGGCAGCATCGCTATCAAAGATGCCCCCCTCTTCTCCATAGACGTCTTCCATGACGTAGTCCAGAATTTCGGAAGCCGCGCTGAGGAGGTTTTTGTCAGATGAGTGGCTGTCTTGGTTGTCATTGAAGCCCCGCTTCCATTCTCTGATTTTCTGAAAAGTCATAAATTTAAATAGTTCAGACAAAAACTTTACGTTTTCCGAGAAAAGAATAGTTTTATGCTTCGACGCAAACATAAAAGGTAGTAGATTTTGTGAAATTTTTTTTGGTTAATTAAAACGGCTCTTGATTGTTCTTGGACGAATTTGAGTTTGGTTTTTTTTGAAAAATAACCAACCTTACACCGTTACTTTTGAAATTTATAGTTGTATAATTCCCGTAATTGCTTTGAGGATGAAGCAAAATCTTGCCTTCTAGAAACTATAATCTGAAGAAATTTTTCAGCCCAGCTCTTCAATTTTTTTCTAATAAGTCAATCTTAGCAATGTTTTTTGTTCAAACTACGTAATGGCGAAAAAATTTGTTTCAAAAACAGTGAAATAACAGAAGTCATTTTCGCAGTATTCTCTATTCGTCATAAAGTTGATTTTTCAAGCTATTACTTATTCTAAAAGAAACTATATGATCAAATAATAAGCAAATTTTGTGCAGCGTAAAGTTTTTTGTTCCGACAATTTGAAGGATGTGGAGTAACTTTGTATTCGTGTGTGTTTTAGTTTTCTGTTTTTTTTTATTTTTGTCTTCCACGCAAAATCATATACCACAAATAATCATGAAAATGGTTTGAGCTCTATATCATATTAAACCCTTTTCAGTCGTGATTCGAACGATTCGTCGTGATTCAAAAAACAAGTTGGAAAACCGTTTCTCAATCTTTGATTTTTTTTGGTCGAATTTCGAGCAAATGGGGTGCGCGTGCAAAATTGCAATAGCTGATTTAAGCTTAATTTAAGCCATGAAAACATAATTTTGCTCAATTGAAGTGAATGTTTGGAGTCAGAAATCTCAAAAAAGTAAAAATTTTTGCAAAAAAAATTTCTGGAGATTTTTACTGACGGTACAAGGCAAGTTTTCGGCCAAATTCTGGAGCAAAAAAAAAGAAAATTAGATTAAGTTGATTACTGCGTGAGGTTACAGAATCATCTTTTAAGAACCCAAAAATTAGTTGAAAGTGACTTTGGTGAGATTCGGAGAGACTTATGTAGCTAACAAAATCCATCCAAAACAATATGAAATAATTTTTTAGACACTCAAATTCACCCGAAACTTTCTGAATGTATCAATTTAAAATCCATTTTGTAAATTTTTTAATGCGATTTTTATGAAATTCATTTTTTCGAAAATGAGAAATAAATCCGGTATTAAGCTGCTATTTTCAAACCTCAGTTTGGTAGTTTTTTTTAAAAAAATAATTGAAGAATTAAAGCATGATAAAGCATGAGAATCAAAGTCTGAAAAAGAAGTTCAAACTTTTTATTTTTACCATCAAACTTTTTCAATTTTTTTTTTGCAATTTGATTTACCATTGAAAAAGGTTCAACAAACATTACGAGGACAAACTGTGCTCTGGATAGGCGCACAATTACGTGTCTGTAACTTCGTGAACTCCAGAGACAAATCTTTCAACATGTTAAATTTTGTTGGAACGATCAACGAACATTTAAGAACAAAAGAAGAACAAAGGGAGCGTCCTTGTTGCGGAATCCGCTCACAATTCACAAAATGCACAGTTTTCCTCGCAATGAAGTGTCCCACACGATCATTTTGAGCGTTTTCAAATTTTTTAACTCTCCCCCATAGGAAGTTCCGTTTCACTCATTGAGAGTAATAACAACAACAAAAAGTCAAGTTGCATTGCCAAATGCATTGACAGTCTCTCCCAGGCTGTACAAAAATAACTAACAATTTTGAAAAAAATTTGTAAATTTTCTGTCTTTATACAAGTTATTATATCTGATATGATTATTCTCTGTTCGTTCAATTCAAATACTCACTAGATAGGTGGCATATCCGGCATCGTGATCTGTCGCCACAGTGTTTGCGTCTCGAAGTTGCCGTTTCAACACACTGAAAAGATTCAACCTTTGTTTTTGTAGAAGCGCAGTTCCTCGTTAAGCAATGAAGTTACTTCAGAAGTTATCGAGGAGTGATAAAGCAACAAAATAGGGCACGCAAGTGCGGATCTAGAATTTTCTCAAGGAAAATTAAAAAAAAAACTTGGTCGACTTTTTTTAAGTCGACCAGTTTCATTTTCAGAACTCTCTAAAATCAATAAGAAGATCCTATTTTGAGAAACTTTCTGCGCCACAGGGTGGTGAGGGGATCGAATTCCAGTAGCAAATTTAAGGGAGGAATTGAAGGAAGCTCCTTTCTCTTCCTCATGAATTCGACTTCCTGGTCATCCAAAGGGTCCCCTCTTCGGTTCTTTTTTACGACAACTATTGTTACTGACTCTAAAAGCTTTCTAAAGGCTACCCAGTTTATTTTAGTTTTGAGTGATGGGGGCTGGCGCTCGCATTTTTGTCAAAAGTTTCCAAAAGATGCTCAAAAACGGAAACTTTGGCCTATGTTTTTTTTTTCAAAAAAACTGCCTGCCGAGCAGAAATATTTATTTTTTAGTCTATACAATTTCTCAAAATGCTTGCCCAGCTAAAACAAGATCGACCCAAAAAAAGATCCATGCAAAGCTCGGACGTAAAACTCAAAACGACTGACGCAGACAAAAGCACTCCGATGAAATAATAGAAATTTTTGAGAAACTTTTTGTAACGATATCATGTGATATTAATTTTTTAAGAAATTGTTATTTAGCAAATCGGAAATATTGTAGAAACCTGAGAAGCTCTTAAAATTTTAGAACTTCAGATTACAATAAGTTTTGAATGACAATTGAAAGCCACGTGGAAACGGATCTGTATATCTGATGATGATCTCGCATGCAGTATTAAATTTACTAAAGGGTTATTCTTAGTGATTTCTGTAAGTTTTTTTATCCGAAAACAATTTACAATGATTAAATTTTATCGGTTTTTTTACCATCGCGATTCGCAATATATTGCAATGAGGTACTAGATTTTCCCCCGTAAATAACTTTGTTCACAGACTGATCAAAATTAGAAACTATGAAATTAGGTTCAGTTCATAATGAATTCAATTTTTTTTAGTCACCGGCATTTTTCGTCTGGAGGCAACTAATATGCCTGGGACTGCAAAAGTCCTGTGTTCGAATCTGATAGGACCTGTTTTTGTTTAAACGGGAAATATACCCCTTTTTGTTTTGTCATCTTTGTTGCAGTACGCAATTTACATTGGATTCGCCCTCTGCATCGCACAAAATGATAGAAAAAATCTTTGCAAAATGCAACAAGCTAAGCATAGAAATTCTAGTTAAAAAACATTTGAATGACAATAATTTTGTTTTGGTTTCGGTTCTTCGCGAAATTACCCAAGTTTTGTCGGCTCAGTTTCCGCCCAAAAAATGTTTTTGGATTTTCCTGAAACCATTTCGATTGTTCTTCTGGACGAGTTTTCCGCAAGTAAAACACCATTCCAACAAAATCTTCAAGTTTTAGTTGTGCGTTTTTGTTTTAATTTTTGAACTTATTGGCCGTCTTTTTTTTCCTGTCTACTAGCTTGAAATGCTGTTCTCATGTAGTATCGCAAGTGATGCCCAACTGCTTCGCTTTGTCTCTGTGTTACTATTATTGCAATTTACTAGAAAATAACTTACCGTGCATAGGGTTCCAATTCGGAGGAAAGGTCTTCCATCATTATTGTGTATAACTCCCATTCTTTCCTCTCGACAAAGAAGTCGACCTTGGCCCGCTTCGCCGCTCTTCGTTTCAGCCTCAAATTCAAGTCGATCTCTTCGAGTCTAGAGGCCAATTTGTCCTTTAATTCGTCCAATTCAGCTGTAGAATTTCTGACAGTTTCAACAAGTCGGAAGTTTTCTTTCAGAGATTGGAAGTTCTCGAGGAAGCTCTGAAAACCCGATACGTTGACAGGAGGCGACGACTTCAAAAAGTTTTCCATTGCTTCGAAATCGAAAGTACTGAAAACAGATAAAGAAAATCAGTATTTGACAAAAAGCTTTTAAAATTGAGCGTTTGAGATTGTTTTAGAATTGTGCAGCTCAAATTTAGCGATGAAATTTGCGCCTTATTTTTCTTCAGATAATTTTTCTTATTACCAAAGGTTATTTCTGGCCATGTTTTCTGATTGATATTTTGAGAATGCTGAACAAACTGCATCAAGCTGAACAAACAGCTTAACCGACCCGTTGATTTTTATAGACTTATCATATGATTTTTTAAATCGTACAAACAAAAAAACTTCAATGAGTTTTCTTTCAAAAGCCTACAATTGATCAAGCAGAATAGAAAATTCTAAAAATAAAAATTGCAACAAATACTAAGAATAGATAAATTTTGTTTATCTTAATTTACGTAATGGCGATTTTACGTTTTCAGCAATAGAGATGCAAGTTTCAAAGCCATCTATAATTGGACTAAAAGTTCCGGAAGAGAAATATCACCATCGAAACAAACTTTCCGTCACCTTCAAAAAAATTTCAAGTATCTCAGACAGAGAAAATCTCAGCTAGCTTTCTCCAGACAAAAAAGGGCAGATTTTGGAAACAAAACAAAGAATACATTTTGTTTTTTGGTTCACCTTATTGGTTTTCCGAGCTCATGTGAAACACTAAAAACACTCTGTTCAGCCTCAAATTTGATGTATATTAGCGCCGATAGTGCTGCCATAAATAAAACAAACTTCATGCAATTTGCATTTTTCAAAAACTTTATTTTTTTCCACTGTCCTTGAAAAATTGAGTTAACATGGTCATTAAAAAAATTGTGTGAGACGAAAATTCGCATGGTGAGAAAATTAAGTGAGTCAACAAAGTAACCATTTTATTTGCAGATTATTACAAATAATAATACAAAAAAATGATTAAAATGTCGCGCAAATAAATAAAGTTATTAATTTTTGTAAAAGCCTTTCAAACAAAAATCAGTTAATTGATACGAATCGGCAATCATAATTTTTATTGCTTTTAAAAATGGCAACATTATAAAAACAATTTGAGAGCGACTGTAAATGTTTTTTTTCTTTTAAGAAATTTTTCATCAAAAACAATCAATTATTATCCATGAAGTTTTTTTGCTATGGAAAACCATAAATTTTGAAAGAATTGTTTTTGTGTATAGGTGTCTTTTATTATGCGCGCGCATGTGTGAGGGGGGGGGGGGAGGGGCGTGGAATTGAAATATATATATCAAGACTCTTAGCAGAAAAAGCAAATCATATTTTGCACCTAAGAATTTCGAATTGAATGTGTTTGTTATGTCACACTTTGAAATCAAGAGTTTAGCTTTTGAAATAGTTTCTCCAAAACAGCCAAAGTTAAGCTTTCATACAAATATTAGAAAATTGATATACATTCATTACAAAAAATACAGGTCATATTTTTCGCTAGTATGGAAAAATGCTATGCCTTGATTGTTATACAATGTATTTGACATTTGAAGTTAAATAAATAGTGTCAGGAAAACGTATGTCCAGGTTAACCATGTTCTTGTTTCATCCCCCGATGCGGTTTCAGCTTTGTTTGAAGCTTGAAAACAACATATTCAAAAAATTGGTCTTTGGTATTTTGATGAAATCACTTTCTCACCTCAAATCTCAATTTTTCTAGTCAAATCTCATTTTTTTTTTAGAAAAATGTATTAGTTTCAAAATAGCAAGGTCTTTCAAAACATGTTTTTATGAATTCTCTCTCATTTTTTAAATGTTTAGCAATTGAAGCCATCGTTTTTCAATAGCCAGCAAAATGTGTCAAAGTCTGATTACACTTTTCAATCAAATGGGTCCAATTTTGTTCACGCATATTCTCGATATTCTTTGAAACTTCTCTGCATTTTGTGTTGAACAAGCATTTCAGAGCTAATTTGAATTAACCAAATGAAACGAATTAAGACCAAATTTTCATTTTTTCCCTCAAATTCGATTAGTTTTGGGCAAAAATGATAAAAGAAAGTATTGATTTTTGCAAGCAATTTGATGATGCTATCAAATTTGCAAAATTTCAAATCAAAATACCACGTCTAAAACTGGTCAATTTCTAATTCAAATTTAAGGAGTAAAACAACTAATAACTAAAATTGGACTTTTTTTGTCCTTAATTTTGAATCAAATGAATCAAAGCGTTTCAGTGGGGTTACTTTGATTTGAAATTTTGCATATTGAACTACATCTTAAAATAGCTCGAAAAAATCAAAACTATTTTTATCCTCTTCATTTTTTTTATTTTCAAAGTTAATAGAAATTGAGAGAAACAAAATTGAACAATATTTTAAGGTCATTTCATCCAATTATTTCAAATCAGCACAAGAGAATATGTTCAGGGCAAATTGTTGTGAAAATTCAATAAACGGTGAGAATAAGCGTGAACAAAAAAGAATTCATTTGATTGAAAAATATCATCAAAATTTGGCAAATTTCTGCTGCTCAGTGCGATAATATAGCTAAAATAACACAACTATTTGTGAAATAAGAGAATAATCTGAAAAAATATTTTTAAAACTTCCTGTAGTCTTATCGATAAATTTTCGTTATTTTATATTCATTAAGAAAAACTGAAATTGGCATTAATAAAATGAATAAAATAGTTATTTTAACATTATATTATTGGTATTGCATCAAGCAAAAAGCAGCTATTGCTTAATTTGTAAAAGCTGAATAATTTTGTGACAAAACGTTTAATCAATTCAGATCAACTATTGCCAAGCTCTTTTTGAGTTATTTAATCGTTTTGATATCTATTAAAAGATCTAACTTGCCCAAAAACAGACTTGAATGTGCTTTTACACCGTATTTATGGAGAAAAATCAATTGAGAGCTTTCATTTAAAAACAATTAATTAAAATTTTTCATTAATTGCTTTACTTTTGCTATTATAATGCATGTATTAAAAAAAACAGTTCGGAAACAAAAAGTGTTTTCCATAATATTTCTAGTTATCTGTATTTAAATGTTGAAATTTTTTTGGAGACAGTAAGTAAGAAATTAACGAATCATGTCAGATTACTTCGGACCTGTTGTATGTGGGTTTTTGATGGTATATGATAAAAATTTATAGAAATCAGAAAAAAAAAACTAATTCTAAAAATCAGTGATTACATCAGAAAACTTTCAATTTTGCTATGTTTTAATTTGTTGGTTAAACAAAAGTCATCCCAATGGCAAAATTATAAACATAGATTGTTTGCAATAGGTAACATAGGTAACCTTTTTGCTTGTTTTATACAAAATATGTTTTAATTTGCCTATTATCACGTAAAATGGTAATTCCAGTTGGTTTCCTTGTATTTTGCCAACGAAAGTAGTTCAGTTCGGTGAAATACCGTGCAATCAACTCTACTTTAAAAAACAGCAAAAAACTACGTTTTTTTGATAGTGAATTTGCTAGTTTTTCGGAGTCTGATTATTTTCCAGGTTTTATAATAAAATTTTTCATTCGAAGAGAGAATATAGCTTGTATCGCAACCACGCATTGTTATATACGACCAAATTCAATAATAACAGCTTTGCAAAAGAGAATCAAAATTTCCCAACGACAATAATGAGTACAGAAAAATTTTTCATAAAATTACAAAAAAGTTTTTTTTTTGGACATCTATGATGACAAAATATTTGTGCTTTGTTTCGTTTTCTTTTCTCAGCTCAAATTTCAAACAATTTTTGGCCAGACTGTTACTTCTTTTTGAAATAAATATTTTTAAAAACTAAATGTTATATTTTTATGTGTTTGGTGCTGAGAGTCCTTACATTACCCATCAAAATTGTTGACAATTTGAAAAAGAAAAAATTTTAAGAAATTCTTAAAAGCAAAAAATATCGGACTGGAAAATTTTTTGATACCTGCTCAGCAAATGGGAACACTTATATTAATTGAACGATTTATCGAATTATTTTGAAAAGTATGATCGCCGATTGGAAAGCTACTGCATCTATCAACCCTTGGGCGACAATTTGCAGCAGAGAAAATTCATAAATCTTGATTTAAAGACTATTACAGATTCACGCAGACTCTCTGCTTGTTCCGAATGAAAACGCGGTGGTGTGAATCCATTGCTCAGAAAAGAGTTATCGTATGACACGAGTTCTCGGCGATTACGAATTTTTGCTTGTTTGAAATCGTCGCTCAAAGTTGGTATATGCATTTCACAAAGAAAAACATACATAGAACAATGCAACTTTTTGACTTTCAGTACACAATTAGAGTTAATTGAACGTTTCGAGAAGGTCGCGATTTTTTTCTCCCGTTAAGTCTGGATGCTCCACGGGATATTTATGACTAAAAATTCTCTAAATTGGGTGCAAAGCCTTAAGTTATGGCAAATTTATCTCACCTTAATTTTTCATCTTGACATGTGGACAGGATAGTTTTTTCAGCGATGTTCGTTTTCTCTTTTTGCGGCTTCAAAAGCTGCAAAATCTGCTCAAATTGCGTAGTACTATTAGAACTACTCATTGCAAAAATATCTGTAATTGTTTTTGTATCTACAAAGTAACTAGTGGATGTTTGTCAATGAAATTGCAACAGAGCTGCTCTTCTCCTCGTCAAAAAACTTTTTGTAATTTTCTAATTTTGTAAACGCTTCGTTGAGCTTTAACTTTTTGTTTTGCGACTTAAATGATATCTCTATGATTCGTGAAGTCTAATTTGAAATTGAGTTTTTAAATCACTATGTGAACACGCAAAAAGAAACACACAAAAACTGGCAAAGCAAAAATGTAACCGTAATATCAAATGAACAAAAAAAAGAAGTTTTAATGCAAAACTGTAATCGATGTGCGTAAACAAGTAAAACTGTCAACGCAGGTGGTTCATAGTAATTTCAGAGACAGCTAGCAGCTGAAAACGATAACTTAAACATACATTTATCACCAGAACGCAGAACATATGAAAATATGCTGACATTTCTTCTGTCACTTTTTGACCTTTTACTTTAAAGTGTTTAAATTATTTTAAAAAATTACGAATAGGTCATCACGACAATCATCTGTTTCGACAAAAACATTATATCTCAATACAGGTATTGTTTGGTACGATTGCAGGTTTTGCACGTTGGAAGCGACATGCCAATTTGACAACTTCAGGTTCAAATTTTGGCACTTAATTTTTAAAAAGTAAATAAGTTCTCCCCTTTGGCGCTAGTTTTGATAAAACTGTAGTATATAAGATCATGTTTTTTTAAAAAAAAAAACATTTTTAAGTCAATATGAAATTGAGATTTTTCTTTAAAATTTTCTAAAAACTGATAAGTAGCTGAATTTGTTGGTGCACACTTAAAAATAACTGCACTCTTAGAAACATGCGATTATAAACTGAACGCGTAACGCGTAATTTAGCCGTGATAGTCAAACTACAAAACTGAAAGTTGATATTTTCATATTAATTTTTCTCGATGCTGAAAGATTTTTGTTCAATCAAATAATGGAATTCAAAGCACAAATTAGACAGCTTTAAAGCTGTTTTTTGATATATCTTAAGTCTCTCATGACTCCTTCTACTCGTTGATTAGTTGAAATCAAAACCATTTTGTCTCCTTTTTTTGTTACATAAATTTTTACTCTGGTTGTTAGTTTTCTTCGTTCACCCCAAACTAATTTCTAAGGTGATGTAGAGGTGTATTTGCATGTTTCCCTACCTTGATAGGACCCAAAATAAAAAAAAACTCCGAAGCTTAAAGTCCTAGTTTTTTCTTCTTAATTGCTGATTCGTTGAAATTTGAACCAACCATGATGGATTGTTTGCTAATTAGTCTAGCAGCATAAGATCAAGCGGAATGTTAGTGACCCCGCAGTCGTGCGATCGTGCCAACGTGATGCAATCAAGCCGAAAGAGGCTAGGTCTCTATGCAAAACTTAGAGCCGGATATACCGGTGGCCTTAAAGAGAGAGTCTGCTAAAATCAGTTTTTGGACATTGAAAAAACTTGGGACTTGAGCGACAGCTTTTTTAGGGGTATATGGAACTAAATTATAATTTTGGGACCAATGAACACGCACCGAAAGATAAAATTATTTATTTGGATGAATCATTTAGATAAATCAAAGTTGCGTTGGTTACTTTGGCTACTTTTGCGCTTTAAAAACAGGGGCGTAGCAATTTGCACTCGTGCCGCTTAGCGTGATCATTTCAAATAATTACTCAATTTGATACGCACGTTTCAGTTTGAAATGAAGTTGCAGGTTTAAAGCTGTTCTTAAGACCAAACTTTGAAGCTTGTGTGTTTTTGGGAATACGACTGGTTGCATAGGAACGTTAACTTATGTTCTTTCGGCGCGCGCTCCTCTTCAAAAGTAAAAAAAACATGGGCTAATTGCCCCTCAGAAAAATTTTAGGTAGAAATTTGACAGCTTTAAAGTTGTTTTTTGATATATCTAATTTCTCTCATAACTCCTTCTACCCGTTGAGTAATTGAGAACAAAACCATTTCGTCTCCTTTTTTGTTACATAATTTCTCACTTTGGTTGTTAGTTTTCTTCATTCACCCCTAACCTAATTCTTGGGCGATGTAGAGGTGTTTTTGCATGTCTCTCCATAATGATAAGAGCCAAAAAAAATCAGTAGCTTAAGTTCCAAGTTTTTTCTTCTTAAGTGCTGATTGGTTGAAATTTGAAACAAGCGTACTGATTGTTTGCGAATTGCTCAACTAGCATAAGAGCAAGCGGAATATTAGTGGCCCCCGCAGTCGTGCCAACGTATTGTAATCATGCCGATAGAGGGTAGGTCTCTATGGAAAATTTAGAGCCGGTTTTACGTAAAACTTAAACCAAGAGTCAGCTAAAATAGTTTTTGGAAGATTGAAAAGACTTGGGAATTAAGCGACAGCTTTTTTATGGGTAAATGGAAATTAATTTATAATTTTGGGACCTATGAATACGCACCGAAAGAAAATTTTATCTACTTGGATGAATCATTTAGATGAATCGAAGTTGCAAGTGTTACTTTGGCTTTTTTGCGCTTCAAAAACAGTGGCGTAAAAAATTAACGAATCATGTCAGATTACTTCGGACGTGTTGTATGTGGGTTTCTGATGGTATATGATAAAAATTTATAGAAATCAGAAAAAAAACTAATTCTAAAAATTAGTGATTACATCAGAAAACTTTCAATTTTACTATGTTTTAATTTGTTGGTTAAACAAAAGTCATCCCAATGGCAAAATTATAAACATAAATTGTTTGCAATAGGTAGCATAGGTAACCTTTTCGTTATACACGCTTGTTTTATACAAAATATGTTTTAATTTGCCTACTATCACGTAAAATGGTAATTCCAGTTGGTTTCCTTGTATTTTGCCAACAAAATTAGTTCAGTTCGGTGAAATACCGTGCAATCAACTCTACTTTAAAAAACAGCAAAAAACTACGTTTTTTTGATAGTGAATTTGCTAGATTTTCGGAGTCTGATTATTTTCCAGGTTTTTTAATAAAATTTTTCATTCGAAGAGAGAATATAGCTTGTATCGCAACCACGCATTGTTATATACGACCAAATTCAATAATAACAGCTTTGCAAAAGAGAATCAAAATTTCCCAACGACAATAATGAGTACAGAAAAATTTTTCATAAAATTACAAAAAAGTTTTTTTTGGACATCTATGACGACAAAATATTTGTGCTTTGTTTTGTTTTCTTTTCTCAGCTCAAATTTCAAACAATTTTTGGTCAGACTGTTACTTCTTTTTGAAATATATATTTTTTAAAACTAAATGTTATATTTTTATTTGTTTGGTGCTGAGAGTCTTTACATTACCCATCAAAATTGTTCACAGTTTAAAAGAGAAAAAGTTTTAAGAAATTCTTTTTATCAAAAAGTATTAGACTGGAAAAAATTTTTTTCGATACCTGCTCAGCAAATGGGAACACTTATATTGATTGAACGATTTATCGATTTATTTTGAAAAGTATGATCGCCGATTGGAAAGCTACTGCATCTATCAACCCTTGCGCAACAATTTGCAGCAGAGAAAGTTTAGAAATCTTGATTTAAAGACTAACACTGATTCACGCAGACTCTCTACTTGTTCCGAATGAAAACGCGGTGATGCGAATCCATTGCTCAGCTAAGAGTTATCGTTTGTCACGAGTTCTCGGCGATTACGAATTTTTGCTTGTTTGAAATCGTCGATCAAGTTTGATACACGCATTTCACAAAGAAAAACATACATAGAATAAGGCAACTTGTGTCTTTCAGCACACAATTCGAGTTAACTGAACGTTTCGAGAAGGTGGCGATTTTTTTTCTCCCGGTAAGTCTGGATGCTCCACGGGATATTTATGACTAAAAATTCTCTAAATTGGGTGCAAAGCCTTAAATTATGGCAAATTTATCTCACCTTAGTCTTTCATCTTGACATGTCGACAGGATAGTTTTTTCAGCGATGTTCGTTTTCTCCGCCTGCGGCTTCAAAAGCTGCAAAATCTGCTCAAATTGCGCAGTACTATTAGAACTACTCATCGCAAAAGTATCTGTAATTGTTTTTGTATCTACAAAGTAACAAATAGATATTTGTCAATGAAATTGCAACACAGCTGCTCTTCTCCTGAACTTTTTTTTGTAATTTTCTAATTTTGTAAACGCTTCGTTGAGCTTTTTCGTTTTTTTTTGCGACCTAAATGATATCTCTATGATTCGTGAAGTCTAATTTGAAATTGAGTTTTTAAATCACTATGTGAACACACAAAAACAAACACACAAAAACTGGCAAAGCAGAAATGTAACCGTAATATCAAAAGAACAAAAAAAAGAAGTTTTAATGCAAAACTGTAATCGATGTGCGTAAACAAGTAAAATTGTCAACGCAGGTGGTTCATAGTAATTTCAGAGACAGCTAGCAGCTGAAAACGATAACTTAAACATACATTTATCACCAGAACGCAGAACATATGAAAATATGCTGACATTTCTTCTGTCACTTTTTGACCTTTTACTTTAAAGTGTTTAAATTATTTTAAAAAATTACGAATAGGTCATCACGACAATCATCTGTTTCGACAAAAACATTATATCTCAATACAGGTATTGTTTGGTACGATTGCAGGTTTTGCACGTTGGAAGCGACATGCCAATTTGACAACTTCAGGTTCAAATTTTGGCACTTAATTTTTAAAAAGTAAATAAGTTCTCCCCTTTGGCGCTAGTTTTGATAAAACTGTAGTATATAAGATCATGTTTTTTTTTAAAAAAAAAACATTTTTAAGTCAATATGAAATTGAGATTTTTCTTTAAAATTTTCTAAAAACTGATAAGTAGCTGAATTTGTTGGTGCACACTTAAAAATAACTGCACTCTTAGAAACATGCGATTATAAACTGAACGCGTAACGCGTAATTTAGCCGTGATAGTCAAACTACAAAACTGAAAGTTGATATTTTCATATTAATTTTTCTCGATGCTGAAAGATTTTTGTTCAATCAAATAATGGAATTCAAAGCACAAATTAGACAGCTTTAAAGCTGTTTTTTGATATATCTTAAGTCTCTCATGACTCCTTCTACTCGTTGATTAGTTGAAATCAAAACCATTTTGTCTCCTTTTTTTGTTACATAAATTTTTACTCTGGTTGTTAGTTTTCTTCGTTCACCCCAAACTAATTTCTAAGGTGATGTAGAGGTGTATTTGCATGTTTCCCTACCTTGATAGGACCCAAAATAAAAAAAAAACTCCGAAGCTTAAAATCCTAGTTTTTTCTTCTTAATTGCTGATTCGTTGAAATTTGAACCAAC